AATATAAAATACAAACGGTTTGAAGGAATATCCATTGTTTGGATAATAACCGGTCAGTTAACTGATAATTTACGACTAATATGAATTATAAATAAGCACTAAATTGTTGTTACATTGTAAAAAATAGTTGACAGGTGGACAATACTTGCAACGAAGCAAGATCGTATTCGGAGTATGATAGGTTTCGAACGAGAACGTTCATTGTTACTTCCTTCACGAAGTAGCCTCTGTGCCGAAAGACCAGAAAATAAACGGTTAAAGTATTCTCATTGTTGAATAGATAATATTGTACACGCGCGCGCGCGTACATTATATTAAAATAACAAAAATGAAAACGCAACACTATCACCTAAACGTATTATGCATTTCCTAGCTGTTTCGGCGAGAAGGTTGCGTGCAGAACGACCACGCGTCCACATCGAGAACACGCGAAATGCGCTTCGCACCCAATAATTTTGCGGAATAAAACCGACGATCACAAGGCACGAAAGAGATTACCGTTTGAAAACTAACGTGGAGAGTAAACGTACGAAAGCAGGATAATAAAATTATTCGCGATCGCATCAGAAACAGAAGGAAAAAGAGTAAAAAAAAAAAAATCATACGTTTGCTAATAAATACACATGCGTACAACTTGGCCGAAATATAACATTTTCGATATCGACCAAAGAGGAAAAAAGAAAAGAGAAAAGAAACCAACAAAGAATGTTGTTCCCGTTCTAATGCTCATTTTCTCCCTCTCCCTTTCCCTCTCACCCTCTCTCGCTTTCTCTCTCTCTCTCGCTCGCTTTCTCTCTCTCTCTCTCTTTCTCTCCTCTTTTTCTCTTCTTCTGTTTATTCCCCTGTTGTTCCTCACTATCTATTCACGTCGTTTTCCCTTGTCGTAGATGTAACATACAGAGAAAGTCGAAAAGCACAAGGGGTGTGTGATTAGTCGAGTAACGATATTAACTCAGGGTGGTCGGAGGGGGCGAGTTGGTGCTATGGGGGCGGGATGTGCGGGATGGCGCGCATTTTGTGAAAATCGACGAAACATGGCCAGCGGCACAAACAGGCATTGCAGGGCCAACATTTGAAGCGCGTCTGCCTGAGTTTTCCACGTGATGTGACCATTCCGCGCTGCTTGCAGTGTACACATACTTTTCCGTGACCGTTTGCTTTGCTGAGGCTATGCGGCTGACCAGATACGTACGTAATCCCTCCTGAAGAAAACACATTGGCCAAACACTTCGGTTAGTCAATTCTTAAGTATATGTGCACATGCAGGCAACCATTAGTAAACAAATTTCTTTAACGACCAATCCCAGCACCAACCAATCCCGTAGCCGTGAAAGCCAGTCTAGAGTATCAGCGATACCAATACCAACGATATATTTTTCGTACGTGTATGCGTGTATTTAGATGGAAATGTAACATTGCCAGGTGCTAGCCGAATCTGTCGATCACCGGTCTTTCCTTCTCGTTTCGTGTTTCTCTTCTCGAACTCCTCGATCGAATTTCTCTCATTGCTTCCCGCCTCGATAATAAAATCGTTACATTTTTAACTTTTTCTCCTTGCTACCGCCCCTCCCTATTTCCCCTCCTCTTTTTCCCTGCGTTTGCAACGCAGTCTGGCAACTATCACGTATCATACGTGCGTTTGATACATTTTACATACGTATATAGTACGTATATCGCGCGAATGCTGCTCCTTCCCATTCGAAAATCAAGTCCTTCGTGAATCATCTTTCTCTTTTTGTCTTTGATCGTCAAAAAAGCCGTTCGTTCACATGTATTTCTTTTAATATATCTTTTATTTTATTTTGTCATTTTTAACTTCGTTACGTGCCTCTGCTGATCATCGTTCGGAAATCGTACTCCCTGTTCGGGCATGTGTACGTTTACTCTCTGCGCTCCGAGATTTCTTATTTGCATGAACGTAAAACGACAATGTCGTTAAAGATTTGAAAGTATCAAGTTGAAGCCTGCCTGGTCGTTTTTATATAGACAGAACAATATATTAAAATTCTGATAAACGATTGTGTTGCGCTTGGGTAATCGACTGTAAGTTTGAAGATCGATCGACCGACGCTTCATCGTCTTGATAAATAATTCTTCGATTCAGTATGTTATCGCCAATTTGCTGGAGAGCAATGGGTCGGCACACGATTACAATTTAACATCGCTTCACGCTCAGTTATAAAAAAGTTTAGCGCGTACAGCGCGAGCAAAGGAGAGTAATCCACGCACACACACACAACACTCGTAATTCTAATATAGAGCATCAGTTCGATCGCCCTTCCGCGCATTAATAATAACATACAAACATCCTCCTGTATCGTCTATATCGTTATTTACATGATTATTTCACGCCTGAAATATTGTTACATGAATTGTGTACACGATCCTATTCCTTTTTCGGTTTACAGTTTCCGAACGGAATTTTCAATACAAAAATTCTTCTAGAAACCCTGTTTCCGGGCCTGTTTCCGCACGCAAAGGTATAACTATCGGTAGACATTAAATTCGCGTTTGTTCGAATAATTCATGCTCCTGTTTTAACGATCAAACGATAAACACAAAGAAGCTTTGTTTACCTACCTGCCGAAATTGACTTTTGAACAGGTCAAATGTATTTCGGATCGGGTCGCGTTAAAAAATTCTTTGCGGAACAGTTCGAATTATATCATGTTTGAAAATAATCGCGCTGTAACAATTGACTTTGACGTTTCTACATAAGAAATGAAAGTTTATTGGCAAAATAATTGAACGTTCAGTGAAATAAACATAATACTCCCATTTCTATCGTGTTTCAAAGGCTCATCGATTCGACCTGAATATCGGATACCCACGCACCCACATTGAGTTTTTCGAATATACGGTACATTATATAAAAAGAAGAAATGAGTATATAACAAGATGTTCGGATACAGAAAAGGATCATTTACATGCCATTATCGCCAGCACCACCACCATTGCTACTTACTTCAAATTAGTTCTTTTACAAGGCTACGAAGTTTTGTTGTAAAAAAAAAAAAAAAAAAAAAAAAAAAAAAAAAAAAAAA